CTTACAGCTATACTAAACATAAAGCACCAGGAAGATAAATCTACTGCCAAGTATTTCCACACAACATTCAAGAGGAAAAAAAACAATTCATAAGCAAGTAATTGACATATGAACCTAGAGTTCTGGAAGTAACAGAAAGGACGAGTAGCAAAGGGTGAAGAATTACTTCATGTGTAGTTTGCTTAATTAGCACAGGATTAGCTATAAATTGCTAAATATCAGGATCAACTGACAAAGAGGACTGATAAATCTCAGAAAGATTATCACTTTACAACTCGGTATCACACAAAACAATTGGCTTCTTCATTAAATCAGAAAAAAACCTCTCTCCTCTTCAATTTGAATAACAATTTATCATGGTAAAGAAATGAAACAATGTTTTCTTGTTCATGTATTCTTTTTTCAAATGTAGGTTGAATCTCTCTAGCCTAGCACTCTTGGGGCTTGATGAGTGCCGAACCAGAGAATTTGCTGGACTATGGGAGGTAAATATTGTCCAGCAGCATTACTAATACTTCCACTGCTTACTGAGCTCTTAGAAAATATTTGGGGTATATCAGAGCTAAATTAACAGCATGGAAAACAGAGCCAGGATTTATGAGATTGCAGGAAACTCAGCCACACCTACGATAAGTGAACATCCAGCTAAGTAAAATCATGCTGGAACACAGATGTTGCCATATCGGAGAGTGCCAGACTGGAGAGGTTCAACCTGTATATAAATCTTAGAGTACAATGGAGCAGTCTCAGCTGGATAGCTGAATTAGGTACCTTTCCCAAATCAGTAAAACTTGCTTTCCTTTGGATGAAATTTACCTCACAAGGTTGACCTGTACAAGGATCCCATCATTAGTTAAGCCACATATTGCCCCTCACTGAGTAGTAGCAGGATGGGAAGAAGTCATCCTTTATAAATTCGTCATATCATATTCCTCAGGTTTATACCCTTTCCCTTTATATCTACATCCTTAAAACTTCTAATAGGAATTCAAAACCTCTCAATAGGAATTTCAGAACCCATTCTTAAGGCAATTTTCAGTAAGTCCTTTGAAAAGGGACAAATGTCAAGCCCCTCAATTCTGGACATACTATTTTCTACAAATTCACACACAGAAAGTGCACACAAGAGACACTTTTGCAGGGGATGAGATTGCTGTAAATTATAGGTGACATGCTTCTCCTCACCATCAGACAAAACCAAACTAGGATCCTTGGCTTGTATTGTCCTCAAGAAATCTATTATATTTTACAAATGGCACTTAACATTCTTTCTAGAGAGTCAGCCTTTGCTGTGAATAGTTGATATTGTTTTTTCTAGTTTTGAATTTTAATATTTAGAGCAAAAAGAAATAATTCTGCCAGAATATTTTTTCTCTATTTGCTTA